TACTTTTATCTGGGCTTTCAACTAAAATTCTACACAGGTGCTAGTGGCAGTGTTTTTGAGGTTTTTGATACTATCTGGGTCGAGAACACAACAGTAACCGTTCTGTCTCCCTCACCGTAAATACGTTCTGGATACATTTTAAGTGCATCATTCTGTATCCAATCATTTGGCCGGATCCCGTGATTTCCTTAGATTTAATAACCACTAATGGTTGAGGAGAGATTCTCTATTAGTCTAGTATATTTTATAACGTTATGAGCGATTTAGCAAAAACCCATTAAAAAATCCCATAGACTTTAGAGCGAGGGAACCGGGGGTGCTAAATGCTAACTCACTTACGCGTTTTGGCTTACAGAGTGACATCGTAACTTCGTCACTCTATGGGCCGACTGATTCAAGCTGATAGAAGAGAAACTTTGACTGAAATAACCAGTTACCACCGAGGTATGCAGCAAAGCATTTGTGAAGCCACAACACACACAACCTTGAGGCGGATGGGCTACAACAGGAGAAGACCCCACCGGGTACCACTCATCTCCACTACAATTGGCAAAAGCTCACCAAAATTGGACAGTTGAAGACTGGAAAATGTTGCCTGGTCTGATGAGTCTTGATTTCTGTTGAGACATTCAGATGGTAGAGTCAGAATTTGGCGTAAACAGAATGGGAACATGGATCCATCATGCCTTGTTACCACTGTGCAGACTGGTGGTGGTGGTGTAATGGTGTGGGGGATGTTTTCTTGGCACACTTTAGTGCCAATTGGGCATCGTTTAAATGCCACGACCTACCTGAGCATTTAGTCTCTCCCGGAGACTGAAAGATAAATGGAAGATTTTAAATGGTGTTGTAATTGAGACAAGTGAATAATGCTGAGAAGTGGCTCTTCTGCTACAGGTAACAACTCTTTCAGTAGTTTATTGATCTAATAAAAATGTGTTTGGTTTAGATGCAATGATACATTTATTTAGCTCTTTCTGCTCTATAGTTGTAAAACACTGCAATTGTTCTTTAGAAGCTGAATCATAAAACGCTGTCAAAGGTTTAACATTGAAAATTGTATTTCTGATGCTTTTGGTTTTCTCAGTGTAGAAAGTCATTAATTCATTGCTAAACTGTGTTGGAATATTCAGTTCAAGTGACGTCTGTTTTAGCGATTGGACTAAATAAATACCTTGGATTGTTTTGGTTATTTTCTATGAGTTTTACGGATATGCTCGGCTCTGCAGGCCTTTAGAGCCCTTTTCTAGTGGGACAAACTGTCTTTCTATCTAAAATACTCTAAATTTGTTTGTTTCCATTTGCACTCTTATGAGTTTCTCTATTGAGAGCATCAATAGTACCATATACCTTTGTCTCTAAACCTTTTTCATTTGATGAGTGCAACAGCTTCTAATGAACTAGAGAAGATGGTTCCAAAATCTTTATTCTGCATAATTTGCATTATCCATGTGAATGTTAAAATCTATGACAATCAGCACTTTATCGACATTGACAAATAGGTTTGAGAGAAAATCTGCAAATTAGAGGTCTTAAAGCCCTAGAGGTCTATATACAGTAGCCAAAGCAAGATTTACAGTCATTTTTTTCCTTATATTAAAAAGTTTAACATTTAACGCAAGCACAAATGAATTAAACCTGTCTTGTTTTCTGAGAAACAACGATATCTCTATAGATTGTCACAACACCGCCCCCAGGACCAATCAGACATGGACTCGTGCTAATAACAGTATCCTGGTGGAGCAGACTAAGATAGTCATTTGGTTTAAGGCAGAGTGCATCAAAACTATTATCTGTGATCATTTCATTCACAATAACTGCCTTAGGTGTGAGTGATCTAATGTTTAAGAGACTAAGTTTTAGAAATAGTTTTTATTGTGATTTTCTGGTTTAATCATGATCAGGTTTGTTCTAGGTCTTATTGAGAGTGAGGAGTCACGTGCCGATTTGAGCGGGGCTGAGCCACGAAATGTTTTAAAAAGACTTTCGTCGTTTCAGTAGCAGGTCGTACGGGTCCATATGTTGTTGATGTCAAGTAACGCTGCTTGGTGTTGTAATTTAGCCTCTCCCGAAAGAGCCACTTTGCTTTTGCTTCCCCCTCCTTCATTTATTCCCAAAAAACTGTGCCTTATCACAAAAATACAAATATCAAGCTGCGCTCTCTCTCTGTCGCCATTTCTCTCGGTCTCAAGGCGGAAATAACCATGAAAACGGATAGCGCATCCTACCAAGATGCAACGCAGACTGATACACGTGATGTCACATTCTCATTCTCAACAGTAGATACATTTTTTGACCTCACTATTTGGGGAACAAACATAGTATCTATTAGCCTGGATGCCAGCCCGAACCTCGCCCACAACATTTTTGGTCGGGTGCTATGCTATGTAGCTGACTTGCTGCGTTGCTCTGGGGTGCATTTCCTATACAACGCCATGGTTCGCTGCTTCACTACAATAGTATGTTGCATCTTTAGAGAAATAAACTAGCTAGTCGCGACTGTTTCCCGAAACAGATTGTCACAAAGTATCGTTCAACCACGTTGGTTTCGCACGTGGTGGAGTAATAACTACTTTTAATGAAACTGTTTGAGATCCAATTAACGCTAGATTTTTTAATATAAATTACAAACATGTCATCTGAGGACTATTTCTAATTGTTCTCAGTTGTTTTGCTTTATTGCCAGACTGCACGTTCGCACATGCGCACTCTTCAAACACGTTACTTTAAATCTTTTGAAAAACTAAAAGACGTAAATTACATTTGTAAGTATTCTAAATAAAAGGCACCAGTTGTACTGAATGTCAGCTTGCTTATTTTGCTCAAGATAAGGATTTATTACGTCCAGATGTGTTGCAATATAGAAACGATGCCTCTAACCACAGGTCGAGAGCTGTCGTTCAAACCACACAACTTTGCGATGCTGTTTGCGAATATTCGTTGGAACGATGGTTTCGGGAAACACCGACTCGTTGAACTATGCTGATAACGACGGAACTTGTGACCATAGTTGACTAATGATGCTTTCGGGAAACGCACCCCTGATTGGTTGTAGGCCTATCCAATTGAGTGCAGAGTTTGTTTTTTCTTGGTTCGGTCAGACACGCCTCATAATCAAAGCCTTATGGAGCAGTATCGGACTTACATTCTGACTAGAATATGAGTATGACGAAGTCAGGCTAAGTCTCTATAGGATGGACTACAGATGCTTCTATCAACAGTCTGCATTGTATGGAGCACTATATAAATAAAGGTGACTTAACAATAAGCGAACCATTTTTTAAAATAAAATGGTAAAATCAATAAATACAAATGAGAATCATGACACTTTTTTTTTTTTTTTTTTTTTTAGCAGTAACCATTCAGCTCAAAAGGAGAGAGCCGAAGCAACAGAGCTTATTAGCGCTCCCCCACAAATTTTATACAAGACAATTTCTCATTTCACAATCGTTCAAGGGAACAAAGTGCAAAACAACAACAAAGAGACAACAAATATCTGGTCATGATTGAACAACAAAGCGACAACAAGAATCTGGTCATTGTTTGTTTTTTCTTTCACATTGTTTTTGTGAAGCATAGTTACTGTGATATGTCATAGTTAATGAACTACTGTAATCCTATAGAACCGATGACTTCATGCATCCACTAATAATCACTAAAACAGCAGTTGATTAAAAGTGATTCCAAACAATGATTCAGAGAAGTTCAGATTAAACTTTTGTACTATTTTGTATCTAAAGCAATGACCTTCAGACATTTTTTAAGAGCGACATAAGTGCCGGATGCTTTTTCAAAGCGGAGGCAAAGCTTTGAAAATGCAAACATAAAAAAGGCATGCAATTTAATATTCTCTATGAAGTCCCTCTGGCCTCCACAGTAGTAGCTCAAAAGCAAAAACTATTTACCGGATTTACCCTGTCCAAAGAACAGCAAGAATTTATGCTTTGAATCACTTTCAGAATTAGTAGGTCTGCTTTTTTCATTCATTTTGTATACTTTTGTATCACATTGCTGTGAGGGATATGTGCCTTTTCCTTTCGTATTTGTCTTCTGTTTTCCGTTTGACCCTGTTTCCCTTGTCTGTTTCATTAGTTGATCCATTAACATGTGTTTTTTCAATCACTTTTTAATGATCTTGTTGGCTTTGTATAAGCCTTCAGTTATTGTCTTTGTCCTGTGTTAATGTTCATATCTCCTGTGTGAGTGTGCTATTCTGTTTCCCTATATGTTCTTATGCTTTTGGATTAAAGATTATTGGAATTGAATCCTTTCTCATCATGCGTAGATGATGCAAATGTTTAAAGATTTCATGTTTAATGTGTAATGCACATTTATTTAGTATTTTAAAACGAATAAATAATTAAAAAAAGCTTCTTTTAACCACTTTATTTATTTTCCTATAAACTGATAGTTGAGAACAAAGTATCTTTTAAAAAATGTTTTAAATTGTTAAATTTAATATAATTGTTATGAATAAAAAATAAACTGGAATGTTACATAATGTTATATTTTGTTATATATTTGATCTCTTGGTTACTTTTCCATTTACAATAAAGGACTTTTTGTATTCTCTGTTTTGATTTATATATATATATATATATATATATATATATATATATATATATATATGAAGAGTTCAGGTGCAAAAGCCTCAAAGTGCCATTTGAAATTTTCTTCTAAAATGATAATTTTTATCAAACTTGTATATTTAAGTTCAGTGATTTCACTTAAATGGCAATGATAATTACTTATTAATTGTTGTTTAAGTGAAATTACTGAACTTAAATATACAAGTTTGATAAAAATCATCATTAAAGAAGAAAATTTCAAATGGCATTTAGAGGCTTTTGCATCTGAACTCTTCATACAGTATAACTCTTTAAAAAACCACAAAGTCATTATTCAGTGGTTCTGTATATTTGCTCCTCCTTAAATCATCAAACATATTTACAAGTGTAATTAATATAATTTAATTTCTGTTTTTTTTCCCCTATTGACAGGAGGCAAATCCTCCCTGCCGCGTTGCTTCAGTGATCCAGATATTGAGGGAGCAGTGGAGGAGACCATATATAAACCACACATCTCTAAAGTCTGTAGCCTTGATGACGCACATTTTGCCCTTGACCTGGACAATGAATCTCTGTCAGACCCTCTTCCACCCCTTCCCCCACCCATGGACAGCCCTGTCCTGCCCCTGCCCCGGGACCCGAGCCCCCCTCCACAGCCCGCTATCAGTCCCGCTCGCCCCACCACTTTGTCTCTGAAAACACTTCCCCGACCCACAGTCACCAACACCATGACCTCCGCCACCACCTCCATTACCAGAGAGAATGGTGGGCCGATATGCAAAGACCCAGAGGAAGATGAGAAGAAGGTGATGGAGGAAGAGCTGAAGAAATGCATAGAGGATTTCAGGAAAATCCGCATCCCAAAACTTTTCCCTGACCGCAAGAGGCACTGGCAGAGCGATCTGCTCAAAAAATATGAGTAATATGGATAAACCACCCTGCTGAAAACACCAGCATGGTTTTGGGTTCCTGGTTGAGTTGCACTATAGCTATAGGCCTATGTAAGTTACTTTGCCTAGTTGTGGCGTAAAGGAGCACTAAGTTGTATAATGTGAATAAATGACATGTTAGAGGCTCTTCAACACAAACCTGTGTGGTTCACTCTGTTTTGCATGCCAAACAAACCCAAACGATCTAAACAAATAAATAAAATTTCTTGAATCAATCTTTATGTATTGCTAATTATTCATTTTATATATAGTTTCTGAAAGTTATACTTTCATAAAAATGCTTATGTTATATTAAGAATATGGGCCAGATTTACTAACAGCTTTCACCAGCGCAAACCCTCTTTTGGCATTAAAAAACTATAGGGCTTGGGCGCCGCGTTGCATTCTGGGACGTGGCGGCCATATTGACAGCTTCGCAAATGTAAACAAACCAGCAAGTTGAATGAGGAGAAGCAGCTGAGTTGGGAGAAAGAAAAGAAAAAAGATGTTAAAATCCCTTAAAGGATGCGGAATTTACCGGGATACGTTTAATAGGGAAACCAGGGACCGGTATGTGGATAAAAAGGCACTTTTAACGGATTGGATCCATTTGAAATTTACAACAAACAGTGGGAGCACAGTTACATTACGGTAACTTAATCCGGACAAAGGTAAACTGCGCTCCACCTAGCTGCTAGTTTAGTAAAAGTTATAGTGCTAACAACCATTCACACATGTCACATACTTTTAACTATGTGTTTCAAAAGTATTGTTAGTAACGTTAGCTGTTTTAAGCAAAACTTAAGTTAGTAAGCAAAACGATGCTTAAAGCAAGAGGGTAGCAACAGAGACTGACAGGTTCGATTAAAGGGCTAATGTTAATGTTATGAGAATATTAAAATACGGGATGTTTTACAGGAAAATGCTAAAGCGGGAAAAGAGCTCAAGTACGTGAGAAAACCGGGAAAAAACGTGAGGTGTGTTCCCACTGTTTGCCGAATATTTGTTGGAAATTTCATGTGGATCCAAACTGTTAAAAGTGCCGGTTTAGTCCATATACCGGTCACTGGCTTCCCTATTTAACATATCCCGGTAAATTCCACATCCTTTTAGGGATTTTAACATCTTTTTTCTTTTCTTTATCCCAACTCTGCTGCTTCTCCTCGTTCGACTTGCTGTATGTTTACATGCGCGAAGCTCCCAACATGGCCGCCACGCCAGTAATGACGTCACGACGCCCAAGCTCTATTGTCAGGATTTACCAAAGACAGGCAGTGAGAAATCAGCGCTGAAAAAACTAAGGTTACTAAGGTTTGCGCTCGTCAATTTACTGTTTTTTTGGGTCATTATTTACCACCCAAAAAAGCATGTATTGAAAGTTGTGTTGGTCATTATGGAAATGATCCGACATGGTCTGTGTTCTTTAATTTGCTCATTGTCAATAGATCACGAGCAGAACTTTCCACTCCCATCTGCGTTTTTTTGGAAGTGTGTTATCTTGGAAGTGCGTTCTCGTGCTAATTTGCACTGTTTAGTAAATCTGGCTCTAAATTACTTATTTCAGTGGAAACTTTATATTTACTGTTAATTACGTGAAACAAAAGCAACACAGTCTCGTGAAAGTGCGTATCTATACCACAAATGTCATTTCTCGTTCTATTTATACGCCAAAAAAGCTACGCACTGAAAACCCCTTGGGTAGGTTTAGGGGGGAGAGGGTGGGCAGTGTGTGCGTATTACACACCATAAAGTGCGTATCATATGCACACGAAAACTGGCACAAGAAATAAAATTTGTTGTATAATTACGCACTTTCATGAGATCGGGCTGAACAAAAGTTATTAACAACCTCAACAACCGACTACTAATTACTTAATAACCTACTAGCAACACTCAAGTTTTTTTTTTATTTTGGGAATGACATATGTCATGGTGGGTATACGATTTTTATTTTAAAATTATCGCATAAAGTATAAAAACTCAAGCACCTCATTGCAGTACACGAGATCCAGAGGGTGGAGTTTGGTCCAGATCTAAGGGGTGGAGATGGGTAGGATTAGGGGTGGGGTTAGGGATCAGGGGGCGGAGATGGGTAGAATTAGGGGTGGGATTAGGGATCAGGGGGGCGAGATAGGTAGGATTAGGGGTGGAGTTAGGAATCAGGAGGCCGAGATGGGTAGGATTAGGGGTGGGGTTAGGAATCAGGGGTTGGAGATGGGTAGGATTAGGGGTGGGGTTAGGGATCAGGGGGTGGGGTTAGGGATCAGGGGGTGGAGATGGGTAGGATTAGGGGTGGGGTTAGGAATCAGGAGGCCGAGATGGGTAGGATTAGGGGTGGGGTTAGGGATCAGGGGGCGGAGATGGGTAGAATTAGGGGTGGGATTAGGGATCAGGGGGCGAGATGGGTAGGATTAGGGGTGGAGTTAGGAATCAGGAGGCCGAGATGGGTAGGATTAGGGGTGGGGTTAGGAATCAGGGGTTGGAGATGGGTAGGATTAGGGGTGGGGTTAGGGATCAGGGGGTGGAGATGGGTAGGATTAGGGGTGGGGTTAGGGATCAGGGGGTGGAGATCGGTAGGTTTAGGGGTGGGGTTAGGGATCAGGGGGTGGAGATGGGTAGGAATAGGGGTGGGGTTAGGGATCAGGGGGTGGAGATGGGTAGGATTAGGGGTGGGGTTAGGGATCAGGGGGTGGACATCGGTAGGTTTAGGGTGGGGTTAGGGATCAGGGGTGGAGATGGGTAGGAATAGGGGTGGGTTAGGGATCAGGGGGTGGAGATGGGTAGGAATAGGGGTGGGGTTAGGGATCAGGGGGTGGAGATGGGTAGGAATAGGGTGGGGTTAGGGATCAGGGGCGGAGATGGGTAGGAATAGGGTGGGGTTAGGGATCAGGGGTGGAGATGGGTAGGATTAGGGGTGGAGTAAGGGATCAGGGGGTGGAGATCGGTAGGTTTAGGGGTGGGGTTAGGGATCAGGGGCGGAGATGGGCAGGATTAGGGGTGGGGTTAGAGATCAGGGGGTGGAGATGGGTAGGATTAGGGGTGGGGTTAGGAATCAGGAGGCCGAGATGGGTAGGATTAGGGGTGGGGTTAGGGATCAGGGGGCCAAGATGGGTGGGGTTAGGGATCAGGGGCGGAGATGGGTAGGATTAGGGGTGGGGTTAGGAATCAGGGGTTGGAGATGGGTAGGATTAGGGGTGGAGTTAGGAATCAGGAGGCCGAGATGGGTAGGATTAGGGGTGGGTTAGGAATCAGGGGTTGGAGATGGGTAGGATTAGGGGTGGAGTTAGGAATCAGGAGGCCGAGATGGGTAGGATTAGGGGTGGGGTTAGGAATCAGGGGTTGGAGATGGGTAGGATTAGGGGTGGGGTTAGGAATCAGGGGGTGGAGATGGGTAGGATTATGGGTGGGGTTAGGGATCAGGGGGTGGAGATGGGTAGGATTAGGGTGGGGTTAGGGATCAGGGGGTGGAGATGGGTAGGATTAGGGGTGGGGTTAGGGATCAGGGGGCCAAAATGGGTGGGGTTAGGGATCAGGGGGCGGAGATGGGTAGGTTTGGGTATATGTAAGGTGGGATCCAGCTCCAACTCCTTCCCCTGGATCTTGTGTTCTGCAGTGAGGACCATTTTGAAAAACGTGCCAATGGCTGTTGCAACCCTCATCCCCAGCATGGGAAGCTGGTACCACAGGCTGCTTCATTAGCTCCACTATAGCAAGGTCTACTAGATTTACATCAAATCTTAGTTTTGCTGGTCAGTATCTTGGCTCTGCTGGTACATCAGCTTGACCAGCCTCAAAACCATGCAAACCATGTCTTTTCAGAAGGGGAACAAACAGAAATTACAATTATGAAGATGATTTCTGTAGACTTCCTGTTCCTGTAGCTCAAACCTTAGAGTGTTGGCGCTTGCAACGCTAAGGTCATGGGTTTGATTTCCAGGGAATGCAAGACGTGATAAGAATGTATAACATGAAATGCAATGTAAGTCGCTTTGGATAAAAGCGTCTGCCAAATGCATAAATGTAAAAAACACCATGTCAGAGCATTTAAATGTCTATTAGCAGTTTAGTAATATGTAGACTACATTAACAAATCTTCCTTGAAACTGGGTCACTTAAAAAGTATCAAGACACACTGAATGAAAAATGTATATATGACAGTTTATGTTCTTCATACTTGGGGTTGATTTTTAAATGTATTGGTTATTATTTTTCAAGCCTTTGATAGTTTGAGATTTTTAAACACATTTTTTACATAATAAACTATGATAATTTGTATAGGGAGAAACATTCTTGTATCATAAATTATGGTAATATAAGACAATTAATTTACTGGTAATTTATGGTTCCTGCACATTTATGTAATAGTAAATAAAGCAATAATACCTTAAAGGTGATGTGTGTAATTTCTGACAAATTCTGTGTCAGGACACTCAAACAGTACACAAGAAATGTTTAGATGGAGTCACTGCGTTTACAACCAACGTCAGACGCGTCATTCTTTCAAAACTAACGGAAAATCAACTTAAAATCAACGCGTTGTTTCAACGTTATGAAAGCAAACCAATTTTCAATTTTCATTTAGCTTTGAAGAATGCCGCGTCTGACGTTGGTTCAACGTTAATTCGATGAGCAAATCAACATTGTTTCAATGTCATGAGAGACGTCGTTTCCACGTTGATTCAATGTCAGTTTGCTGTCTGGGTAGGTCTCTATTCACTTCTATAATCGTTATTACAAAGCAAACAGACTACACGAGTACTGTATAACGTTGTATTTATTAGCAACGTGTGCTAGCGTATCAACGTAGAACTGAAAACATTATAAAACGGTCTAACTAGTATAACTTCACACTCACAGTAAGGTTAGAAGTAAAAAAAGATGTGCTTGTTGATCTTTGCGGGGTTTAGCTGACTGAGGACATCCACACAGTTTAATCCAAAGACGACACTTGTCACTGTGAGGATTTTACTTCGGTTTTGGGAAGGGAAAAAACGGACACCCCCCTCCAACCTCTCTGGGAAACGTGTATCTGTGTTGCAAATGCCCGAGGCACAACGTTTAACCATATTTTGGATAAAACTACGACGGTAATAGCCTGCCGAGACCAAAAATATGAGACGCCTGTGTTGAAAGTCAACGGAGCACAGTGAAAAACTGTCGGACCTCTGTGGGAGCTGGTTCTTGGCTGGGCTGTGATTGGTCAATCTACATTCTAGGGCGTTGCTTAGCCAAAGGAGAATTCTGACCAATCGAAGTGCAGTTATGGAAATCTGGCCAACGAGTAATGTGGATGTTGTCACATGATTATATTTTGGTTTATTTCATCAACTCATCAACTGATTCGGACCAGAGCAATCAGTGTGATGTAAAAACGAACTAAACCCCCTGAAAAATGCTACAAAGTATAATTTTTCACCCTTGGGTCCATACCAAATGAACCGAACTGTGAAAGCACCCTTACTATC